CTACCATGTTTGAGGTATGTATTATCAGTATCCGCTCGGAATGGTCGTCGGTCCATTCTGGGTTCTAGTGGCCTTAATCTGCCCACTAGAGTGTGCACATGGTGTCCGACTATGCCGGCAGATGTTCAGTTATCATTCAGGTGATTTATATCACGAGATCAGTATCAGATTATTCAGTACCGGTATCAGATATCGGTTATCAGTTTCAGTTTCAGTTTAGTTATATATGCTAGGATCATAATATTGTTATTATTTTCACTTTTTACTTTAGTATGATTTTTTGCGGAGCACAATGTTTTAGTGCTCACGCCCCCACGTTAATGATGTTTTTCAGGTCACAGAGTCGGAGACAAGGAGTGATCTGGCGAGAGGTTCAGGACATTTGTTTATTTGTATATATTATGTTTTGGCTACGCTACATTTCCGTATTTGTATATATTATGTTTTGGCTACGCTACATTTCCGCTACAGTTTTCAGTACTTTAAACCAGCTTTTGACCCGACGTTAGTCGGTTAATATATTGGATAACCGTTTTTATTATCAGTTTAAAATTAACAGCTTTCAGAATAAAGTCAGATTTTACGGTAACACTCCGAATCAGATTTCGCAAAAAGAAATATTTTATTTATTTTATTTAGAAAATTTGCGAAAAGCGCACACTGAATTTCAGTAAATAGCGGGGTGTTACAATTGATATCAGAGCACGTTTCTGCGTCTCTGAAAGTTTTACAAGTCAGAAATTCGCCAAAAACCTGAACCGTCACGCTCACGCCTCGCCGACTACTGGTAAGTGCTGATTTATGTTTTTCAGTTATAAACATATTACTTTGCCTATGCTCAGAAATTTATTAATCATGACTTAGTTAAGATGCTCGAATCAGGTTCAGACTTTAGAATTCAGTGTACTCAGATATAACTCTAGACTTCCTCAGGATCGATATCAGTATTTTCCAGCCATATTTGGCAACTCGTCAAGAGATCTGTTTACTTTAGTAATCAGTTAGAGTATTTTCCATGTGTTCAATTATGTTGAACTTTTTCAAATGATCAGATGTCGCCCCGTAGGGAACCCGATCGCCCGGTTCTTCCCCAGGCCACGGTAGTCGCACAGTTCCGCGACTATCATGCTGAGAAATTCTTCGGGCAGGGAGATCCCCGTATTGTGGACGAGTGGATTCAGGGCCTTTAGTTGATTTATGAGGTCATGGATTGTCCAGATAGATATCGTGTTATATGCGCTCAGCTTCAGCTAACCGGCGATGCCCGACTCTGGTGGAATGCCTACTGGAGCATGCGTCCCGGCGAGAAAGAGGGTTGTACCTAGGATAGGCTCAAGGAGCTGATCCACGAGAAGTACTACCCCACTTATTACCGAGCAGAGATAGAGCGTCAGTTTCTGTCGCTCAAGCAGGGTACTCGTTCTGTTGACGAGTACGAGAGGGAGTTTACCAGACTTGCAGCTTTTGTTCCGGACTTGGTTCGCACGGAGGCACAGAGGGCACAACGCTTCATTGACGGACTTTACCCAACAGTCCGTCACAACATTGTAGGTCACGGGACCCAGACCTATGCTTGTGCTGTTTCGATTGCCCAGGAGGTGGATGCCAGCATCCGGAGGGAGGCCAGCCGCGATCGTTTTCAGCCATCCGCCCCCGCCCAGTCATCCACAGCTCCACTAGCTCCACCAGCTGCCCAGCCAACGAAGGAG